GAGAGTTATGATGTACCGAAGGTTATGTAAACAAAGAACGGATACGGCGTATTATATTTGGCACCTTGCCAGAGTTCGTTATCTCTGTTATTTTTTTCTGAACCTAATGGTATTATATATATATAAGAAAAAAATAATAAAACTTATTTACTGTACTTTGCGATACAATGATTACCAAGTCAATAGGAATTTTCATTTTCAATATCGACGCTATTCTGTAAAGGTGTGTGTGTGTGTGTGTGTATTTTTTTTTTTTCTATCATAAAAGTAGGTATATTTGTCAGAACAGTTTAATAAATGCATTTTACCATAGAGACAACTAATATAAAGGGAACTGTGGATGGCAACATTAGTACAAAATCATCCTAATTATAAAGTCCTGGAATGAATACAACAAGGTGGTTCAATTTTGAGAATTTTAAAAGCATATGAATTTAGTACATGGAATTTAAGAACTTACCGAAGTCGTTGAATTTTTCCCATGCTTCACAAAGGAGGGGAGGAGGGGGAGATGGTCAATGGGTGTTTAAAATTTTCGAGGAGGATCAAATGTACGTGATCGCACGCACATAAAGTTAAAAAGATTGATCATCCTCATTTAGTAGGCCTACATCGACTTTCCTATCTAAATACTGAAATATATTAGTTATCCCTCTCAAACTTTCTTCGATAATTGTCAATATTAACAGATTGCAAAGGAGGACAAGTGTAGAGTTGGTGATTAGCCATTTGCACCCATTATCTTTACTAAGAAGTGATAAAATCATTCAGACGCCTAGGTGTGGTGGAATATTTGCGAATTTATGGTACTTAAGACCTACGGTAAAGTCTAAACATATTTTTATTGCGAACGCACGAACAAATGCGATAGCTTTTTGAACTCTAGACGAAGAGTGCGCACACAACAAACTCAAAATTCCATATAGCTTTTATTTCTAAGCGGGTTTTACTGAGTACTATCATCTTCAGTATGAAATAATCTGTATCTCGCTTATACATCCGAAGTTCAGAAATCCGGCATTTAGGTAACATTCGTATTGAATTGGTCTTTACAACGGTAACTACCAATTTCAAATCAAATCAAATTTACCCATGATCTAATGTACCGACCGTTGAGCGAAATGTAACGGAAATATTTAAATCCCTATTTTTAAGGCTATTTTCAAACATTTGTGCTTCGTACGTGATATACGTACAGATTACTTCGTAACCTAAACCATATTACCAGGATGTCTCGATCGAAGTATATTTCGTGTGTAAAAGGACACAAAATTACCTTTTTTTTTTTTTTTTTTTAGATATATTTCACAAAATATTTCGTCATAAATCACAGTGATATAATTTTTTCCTGATATTGGTATAAAAGTGTTCCTTGAACATTCACGAACTCATATCTATGCGCAATGTCATAAACAAATGCCGTATGCACGATTGCAGATAGCAGAAGTCCACATAAGTGTACCTGGGCGCTCAAAGGCGACGTACCTCCCCATGTGTTCAGTGGGTCTCGCGTCGGCTGCAAGACAACGAGCCAGCAGGCGGTTAATACTCGTTTGGTAGTTTCCTCATCCATGTTCCTCCTTTTTTTTCTTGTACACGCGAGATGGCAACACACGATAGCGAGTTGTTTTTGTTAATTATTCTTTCAACCTGTACTATACGCTAGCTCACTCAGTTTGACCCCCTGTCCGCCCCCTCATGTGGGACGGTCCCCTCAAGGGTCCTAGAGGAGCCGCCGTACGAGGCTTCGGAGCTTCGACTAAGGAAGTCCCCGGACGGAAAATGAGATCAGTAATTTTAACAGGTATTCAAGAGTGAAAGTGGATAAAATAACATTCTGCGGTGCTAAGAGAAACGACAGAAAAATCTATAAATATATCTTCAGTAAAATAGTTTGATTCTATGCATATACAATGTGGATAGAAATGGCAGAATATTTTTTTCTTTCTTTCAAAATTTTCTTTCAAAAATTCACTCCTTAGTAAATTATTGTTTCTACTAATACTTACATATACTATTTTAGATAAAACGTGGTCTTAAATTAATACTATTTTGAATTAATAATGTCTAAAATCCCTTACAAATCTGTTTGGAAATCCGGAAATCCCGTAATTTTTTGGGGGGAGGGGGGGGATTTCGGAAATCTCGTAGGCTATTTTGGGTCGCGAAATCCCCTCGTATTAAACCTCCATCTCTCAAATAACAAATCTTCAATCAAATATTTTTTCCCACCATGAATTATCGTATACCAACAAATCAGTTTCAGCAAACCTATTTTTTTCTACCATGACAATGTATATTGATAAATCGGTTATTAGTAAACAACATGAACCAATAAATCGAATTTCACTTACCCCTTTTTTTTCAAACACGGCCAAACATGACACCAAAATAAGCACTACCACCCAACCTCATTCTCCTCATTCAAGAACCTTTCTCTTTATCCCCATTCTCTCACCCCCATTCTCCTCACCCCCAACATCCTCTCCTCAACCCTCACTCGTCTTCCTGCCCCCCAAGAGACGCCCCTCAGGTCCCCCGCCGTCTTATATACGCCACAAGGAGGTCGAGGAGGACCTCCAGCAGTTCAGCCACGGACACGACGGAGATCCCGATGAAGAGTCCGAAGTTCCCTCCCACGTTGCAGAGCAGAGTTTCCCACTGGAGGAGAGAGGAGGGGAGGGTGAGATGCCGCTCGGTGGGGGGGGGGGGAGGGTAGGCTGTTGGTGAATGGCGTGAGTGGATAGTTGGTGTGGATGGGTGTCGGTGGGGGTAGGTGGGTTAAAGGTGGGTGGTGATGTGTGTGTGTTTGGGGGTGGGGGTATGTCTAGGGGGGGGGGGGGGTAAAGGTGGTTGGGATGTAGGTGTGTGTGTGTATTTGTGTGTATGTGTGGTGTGTATTTGTGTGTATGATGTGTGTGTGTGCGTGGTGTATTTGTGTGTATGATGTGTGTGTGTGTGCGTGTGTGTATTTGTGTGTATAATGTGTGTGTGTGCGTGTGTGTATTTGTGTGTATGATGTGTGTGTGTGCGTGTGTGTATTTGTGTGTATGATGTGTGTGCGTGTGTGTATTTGTGTGTATGATGTGTGTGTGTGCGTGCTAGGGTCATTTTTTTTTTTTTTTTTTTTTGGGGGGGAGGCTGTGTGTATTTTTGGATGCAAAATATAGGAATAAAGTTCTGACATATGGCAATACCATGTAAGAATGAAAACAAAAAAATCAACAAAGCAAAAGCCATAACAACATATTTTTTTCAAACAAGAACTCACAAAATATGGTATTTGTTTCTCACCGTGTACGATGCAAGTTCCTCAACTACCTCGTGATCTAAGCTGTTCAGATATATGTGCAGACGAGCCGTGTTATTATCCCCGCTGCGAAAATAATAGTAATTTGAGAGGCTTAAGACAGGAATTTACAGTAGGATATCTGTTAGTGATTTAATGATGATTGCAGTAGTACGTCTGTTAGTGATTTAATGATAGTTACAGCAGTGCGTCTGTTAGTGATTTAATGATGATTGCAGCAGTACGTCTGTTAGTGATTTAATGATGATTGCAGCAGTACGTCTGTTAGTGATTTAATGATGATTGCAGCAGTACGTCTGTTAGTGATTTAATGATGATTGCAAGCAGTAACGTCTGTTAGTGATTTAATGATGATTGCAGCAGTACGTCTGTTAGTGATTTAATGATAGTTACATCAGTACGTCTGTTAGTGATTTAATGATAGTTACAGCAGTACGTCTGTTAGTGATTTAATGATAGTTACAGCAGTACGTCTGTTAGTGATTTAATGATAGTTACAGCAGTACGTTTGTTAGTGACTTAATGATAGTTACAGCAGTACGTCTGTTAGTGATTTAATGATAGTTACAGCAGTACGTCTGTTAGTGATTTAATGATAGTTACAGCAGTACGTCTGTTAGTGATTTAATGATAGTTACAGCAGTACGTCTGTTAGTGAAAATGTAATGCATTGCGGTCTTTGTGAGTGATTAAAAGGTTACAGTATGTTGTTAAGTTGAAGACTCAGTAATCTTATAGATTTAAGAGTATACGACATTGAGAATTTGATAAACTTAGCACCCCAAACAGTATGGTATGAGCAGTATTTATAATATAAATTTCTTAAATTACCTAAACTTATTCTGTGAATAGACGCACCTCTAAAGTATATTATAAAGTTATAATCAATGTAAACTTGTTAAGTTATATAAATTTATGATTACTATATAGACTTGTTATATAGTTATAATTATGATATAAACTTGAAGTTATACAAAGTTATGATTATAATAAAACGTCAAATTACACAAAGCTATAAATACAATACAATTACAAAGTTACGACTGCAATACAAACTTGTAACCACCGATAACTTACTCTGAGCAGAGGTCGGAACCCGTGTACAAGTTCTTCAAGTTCTGCGCTACAGTAAAGAACTTGAGGTTTGGGTTCGTGTAGGTTGTCTGCACATCGTATACGGTTTCTCTGCGGAGAGAGAGGGTCTTTCTGTTATTTGGTAGTGTGGGGGGGTGGGTGGGAAGAGAGAGAGAGGGAGGGGGGAGAGTGGGAAGGAGAGGGAGATGAGTGGGAAGGAGAGGGAGAGTGAGTGGGAAGAGAGAGAGGGAGAGGAGGGTGGGAAGAGGGGGAGAGAGAGAGGGGAGGTGGGAAGGAGGGGAGGGGGAGAGGGGAGGGAGGGAAGAAGAGGGAAAGGTGGGAAGAGGGGGAGGATGGGAGAGAGGGAGAGGGAGAGGGAGGGTGGGAAGGAGGGGAGAAGGGAGGTGGAAGGAGAGGGAGAAGGAGGGTGGGAAGGAGGAGGAGGGAAGAAGAGGGAAAGGTAGGAAGGAGTGGGGTGGGAGGAGGGAGGAATGAGAAGGGTGAGAGAGAGAAGGCCGGGAGAGAAGACAGACAGAGAAATAGAAAGAAAAAGAGACAGATGCACAGACACAGACAGCCAGACAGAGCAAGGAGATCATTTCAACATATGTCAATCCACAGACACTCAAGAACTCACTCGCAAGGAGACACGCAATCACACGAATCGACTCGGCTCAGGAATTCGAAGTTGACGAAATCTATGCACAGCTCTGGAACAAAAAAAAAATCTGAACTTTCCAATTTGATTACACTCCTTTTTAAATGTTAATCGATTTGGTATAGTCATTTTCATAAAATTCGGGGGAAAAACCGTGTTGATTTACTTGTGTGTGAATCTCAAAATAATAATAATAATAACGAAATTTTCATCGATTTACGTGTCGATTTACTTATGTAAATCTTTAAAAAATGATAAAAATATAATATTAATAACAATTATAATAATAATATAAGTTTTCATCAGTGTCGATTTATATGTGTATGAATCCTAAAAAGAATGAATAAAGAAAAAAAATAAATAGATGAATGAATATAATGATAACTATTATCATTATTATTATTATCAATATTACTATCATCATCATTATTATTATTATCAATATTACTATCATCATTATCATTATTATCAATATTACTATCATCATCATTATCATTATTATCAATATTACTATCATCATCATTATCATTATTATCAATATTACTATCATCATCGTTATTATTATTATCAATATTACTATCATCATTATCATTATTATCAATATACTATCATTCATTATCATTATTATCAATATTGCTATCATCATCATATTATCAATATTACTATCATCATCATCATCATTATCATTATTATCATATTACTATCATCATCATTATTACTACTATAATCATCATCATTATTATTATCAATTATATATATTCATCATCATCATTCATATTATCACTACTATAATCATTCATCATTATCATTTTATCAATATTACTATCATATCATCACCATTATTACTACTACAATCATCTATTATCATTATTATCAATATTACTATCATCATCATCATTATTACTACTATAATCATCATCATCATCATTATTATCAATATTACTATCATCATCATTATCATTATTATCAATATTACTATCATCATCATCATCATCATTATTACTACTATAATCATCATCATTATCATTATTATCAATATTACTATCATCATCATTATTACCATAAGCATCATCATTATCATTATAATTGCTATAACAAATATAACAACAACGTAAACTAAACAACGAAAGCGGCAGCTCACTATCGTCGATGTCGAAGTAGGAGCAGCGTCTCGCCGGCCTCCTTCGCCACTCCTTCATGAACCTGTAGGAGGGGCTCTGGCCACGCGTGCAATTGCACTGGTTCCAAAACATCTTCTCGAGACACCACTTCCTGCACGTCTGGGGAAATGGGGGTGGGGGGAGGGGGGAGGAAGACAGTGTGGGTAAGTTATATGATGTTTATATGTTTGTGTTTTTTCGAATACGAGCTTAAAGGCTGTTCGTGAGTCAATAGGTATCGTATTTGGTTTATAATTGTGTGTGTGTATACAAAACATGCGGCTTAAAAGAGATATATAATGTTTATATGAACTATAATTCAAATCTCAGGGATGGTAAACATTAAATGCAAACGATATAAGTATGAAGAAGCCACATAATGGCGTTCATGATTTTTATCAAACCTTTGTCGTTGTTTTTTTTTTTCTTTCTTTCTTTTTTTTCTTTTTTGCACATAATGGCGTTCATGATTTTTATCCTTTTTTTTTTCTTTCTTTTTTTTGGGGGGGTCTGCTGAAAAACGCAGATCCTGATATGCGATGTCCTCTATAAACCCCTACATTGATATTCTATGAAAAGCATGAATAATACCACAATAATGTCTATTTTTATGATACTTTAATTCCAATCTGAAGTAAAAGAACAATGCTTATATTTCTATCATATCGAAGGAAACTATAAAAAAAAATATGTTGATTCTTCCAGTAAAAAAATCCTACATACAAAATGCATTAAAATCAAAGCACTCTAAAACTTCCCCTTCCCCTTAAGTTCACTTAACTGAGGAAGGAGAGGAATAGTTAATCCCACACAACCCAATGCCAAAAAAAGCTGAAATCGCTGTTGTAACCGCATGAAAACAAGCCTATATATGCGAGTCCAAAGGGTCTACACCACCTCCAATACAATAAAAATAAAAAATAAAAATAATGAATAAAAATAAAATAAATAAAATGAAAAGAAAAAAGAAAAAATACAATAAAAGTTTAGTTTTGGCAGACTAAGCCAGTGTTTGAACCGTATCCATGTTGACAAATGTAGAAAAGGTATGAATGAGACTGAATATCTTCACAATACGAGAGATGTATTTGACCGGTTTCGATTACGTCTTCATCAGAAATACATGTATTTCTGATGAAGACGTAATCGAAACCGGTCAAATACATCTCTTGTACTGTGAAGATATCCAGTCTCATTCATACCTTTTCTACATAAGCCAGTGTTTCCCAAACTTTTTCGGGAGCGACCCTAAAGACCGTCATAGCCTGGGCTAGCGACCCTAAATGTGTGAACCTGTA